ATTGTCCATTCTAGTGGAGCTGTGTTGGTTAAAAACACAGTGGAGCACTACATGACATTTTCTGTTGTTTTCTGTTTGAGAGAAGAACTCAAATATGCAGGTTTTATGTGTGAATGAAACAAAACACAACTCCAGGTATGTTTCTGATTAGGAAACACATCAGAATATGGTCCCTTTAAAAGCTCCATTTCTTGAGACCGTTTCTGCCGTGAAAAGTTGAATAATCACATATCTATAGCTATCTGAACCAGGTCTGAATCAAAGGCACTTATCTCTTTATAGTGAGTCTGATTGGCTTTGGGGTGCACTTTCACATGACACAGACTCTGCACTGACAGTGGGCAGCTCTCTGTGCAAACACAATAGTATCTGATTATTCAAGTGTTTAATCACCGCTCATCTGCAGACCAAAGCCAGCGCCAGAAATGACAGCAATGAATACCTGCCACTTTGAAATGCCCCATTCACTTTCAAAGGGCTTATTTTACTATTTAAAGCAAGCCACTAATGCACTTTTTCCTTTTTTTTTCCCTCTCTCTTTGTCTCGCAGGCTTTGCACTCTCACGCTGAAAAAACTAGTGGTTCTGAAAGAGCTGGACAAAGAACTCAACTCATTATCGATAGCTGTCAAAATCCAGGTGAGTGATTTATTCTTTTTCGTTTATTATGGGCACTGACTCAAAACAGAGGTGGAAATGGTAATAGATATACACAAAAAATTGCAATGTCCAACAAAAACATATAAAACCCAACTGTGTAGCCAAAATATTTCCTTAAATTTGACTCTTTCTTGGCCTGGAGAAGAGTCTATACCTGCTCGTCTCCATAGAAATGTTGTTCCTTTTGATTTTCTTCCATACAAATTGGGACGAGAGCCATTTTTCCGTATTGATTACATTGTACTTTGCCATGAAATATCCAAAAGGGAAAGTAACAAATGCTGAACCTGGTAATTTCTCTTATTGAGTGCGTATACATGCACATGAGTATCCCGGTTATGATTGGGTTTTTTGAGTATCCCGATTTCGTCATAGTGCATGTATATCCCGGTTATGAGAAACCAGGTTACTGTAGCTGGTATATTCCGATAGTAACCGGGATACTGTGACATGTATACGCAGTATCCCGGTTACTGCAACTTAAATTTGAATGCGCATGCGTCCAAAAGACAAATACTTCTCAGTCTTTTCACCTCTACAAAAACGACATAAATAAAGTGACCATACGTGAGTGAAATGACTGCGCTAAACCTGCACAGGAATCTGCACTCGTACGACCTGCACACGTGTGATCGCTGAAAAGTTAAACATGAAACATCTCCTATACCATATACACACAGAACACTTACCATCGTCAGCCACTCCTCTGTCACAGAAAAAAAAAACACACATATTCCACTGAGTTGTGTCCTTTAGTCCGACAGAAGCTGAACAGCATCAGCGGCACAAGGAGCAAGCTGTTTTTATCAGCAGTTTATGATAATTAGCCATGCGGTCTTAAGTTTCGTTTCAGTAAAACGTAAACAAATGTGGCAAAGCTGAATTATATTATCAAACGGGCTGATGTGGTTATGGTTCATATGTTATAAAGCTGAGTTTATTTATGCAGAATACTTTAATAAAAAATCTACACGTTGGGTTTGATCAGTGCAGTGGATTGTGGGATACCTCATAGCTCCGTACCGCTGGTTAGAACCTCCCGAGATTCCTGTCTGTATTTTTCCTGGTTTATTAACCCAAATTAGGTAAATTTTTGCACTTGCGCATTTGTAAGATTATGTCACGAAACCGGGATACTCTATTTGATCATGTATACACGAATATGAGTATCCCGGTTTCTCAGCACGCGTGTATACACAGTAACCGGAACACTGACATAACCGGGATATGACTAATAACTGGGATACTGATGTACATGTATACACACTCATTGACTAGGCACAAGAACTCACTGTTTTACCAGGAAACGTGGCATTTAACAGTATTAATTTTAGCTGCCCCCCATCTGTATTGAATAATATTGACCTATAGACTGATATGACGTCATTTCAAACCATAACTATTTAGTACTTCATTGCATTTTACATTTTTTACAATTTGGCTCTCCAGTTCTGGGCCAGTCTATTGTCTCACTGTAGAAATGACTCAAATCTGGTCTTGCACTTAAACCTAAATCAATATGAAGCAGTTTAAAATGGGAATGGGATGGGTTAAATACAGTCATAACTCAGTCATGGAGAACTGATTAACCAAGCCTTGAAACTACTGAGGAAACAGGAACAATAGCTTTACTTCAGAAGTCATAATGTTGGTCACCAACTAGACAAACATTAGTACACATTAGTCACTCTTCTTTGGTCTTGGTGTAAATAATCTTAATTGGAATTACTGTTAAATTGTGACCTTTCTTCTTACAGTAATCGTAACACTAAAATTTGATATTGTGACATAATAATTTGTAGTTTAATATTTTAATTTCAGTACATCTCTCGTCTGCAGCAAAGCACAATTGCAATATATTTGAAATCTGCATGATGCATTGTGCACGGGGACCAGAGGCTGCTGGTTGCCTTGACGATGACAAAAGCGTTCATCTAATCTCCGCGATTGATTAAACGGCTCTGAGCTGTAGCACAGGAAGCTCTGGTGACTCACCCAGGTGCAGGAAACGGCAGTCTGGCATTAGCACCTTGAGGAAGATTTACGTTCTTACTTGAATAACTGATGATGCAGTTTACATTATCAATATTCTGTAAATCACACATATATAATGCTTTGTGAATGAAACGAGGTCAGATATATTACAGACATGAAATTAGCTGTTCATATGTGGTATTAAGATTTGATGAGATGAGGCAGATCAATGAGTTTTACTATATATACAGTACATTTTTTACTATATATTGAATATATATTACGATTTCTGTTTGGAGAGGGCAAACCAAGCTCTGCATGTCAGGCCGTCGTGATAAAATGGTAAAAATCTCTCCACTATTGCAAAGAAAATGTACACATGATGAACAGTGAGCCTCAAAATATATTGTTCCATCTATGCATATTATCAACACAGGCCTACTGTTTTAGAAGAAGCACGTACTTAGAAATGTAAATTATATTTTCAAAGCCATCTTAAAATTAGATGAGATGTATATGCACAGTGTGTTCGATATTTTATATTTTAAGTTAATCATTACATTTCTTCTGTTAAACCAAGCCAACAATATTTGCTGATTTTTTTTTTTTTTTATCTCATTCAAACTTCCTTTTCTTTATGACAAATCAAATTTGTAGAAGAAGCATAGATATTTAGCAATTTGTCTAGGGAGTTACACGAATTAAAATCCAGTATTATTAAGTACAAAGTCTTCCACAACAGTTTATAGTCGTAGTGATTTATAGCAGCATCAATCTAGGATGCAATACATGCTAAATACAAACCATATTTCAAGAATTTTATAGATGTAAAATTACCTTCACAATTATCATTTGTTTAATCATAAAAGCCAATAAAATGCTATTAAGCCTCTATTCCCTGCTGTTGTAATTAAACATGTAATATGTTTGTAGATGTACTCATTTGGTCCTAAGCATCTTTCTAATGAGACAAACAAGCAAATACATCAGACCTCGTTCCAATAGGATCCTTTGACGTTTTAATAAATCAAGGAATGTTGCTTTAAAGACTAGCTGCATTTTCCTATGGCATGTTAATTAACTATTTTCCTTCCAGTCTCTCAGTATTGCAATGCCTATTATGCATCTTAATTGAAGTATTATGCACAACTGGCTGAGTCTATTTCAATACAAACTAGTTTTTTCCCCCTTTGCCGTCATAGAAGATGCGAGCAGTCATCCAAGTGTAGCGAAGGGATCCATGTTGTGTGCGAAGCGTGAAATCTGCCTCTCTCAGAGCAGCCGGAGGACAGGCTCGGCTCTGCTTTGCTCAGAAGTGGGGCGTTAAATGTAATTTGCAGGTGTATACATCATATATATGTTCATAAATATGAATGTATGTGTGCACTTAGGTGAAGGCGGGACTCATTGATATTAAGAGCCTTGGAGGTAGAAAACTGTGGTTTATGCATGACTATTTACCGTTTTTACCGTTTTGAGTGTTTTGCTTTTGCCATACCTTTAATACGAAATGCATGTCCTCAGAGGGTTGTTTGTTTTAGAGGAAATAGTCTTGCTCAACAGCGTTAGTCAATCCGGCCAATAGGGATGGGACAAGATCTCGTGAGACAAAATTGCCACAAAACCGTAAACACATGAGAAAAAATTACAGGAAAAATGACAAGAAAAAATGATCTTTTCTACGTGTTTACATTTGGATTAGATTAAGTGCTGGAGAGTTACATTTCATGAGATGCTGTAGTTCCAAAAAGCAATGCTAGAATGACAGCAAAAATGTTAAATAAAATAAGTTCTGAATAATGAGGCCAATTTGGTGAACTGAACCAGACAATTCATTTATTATAAATAATGTCAAAATCTTGTTTTATCTAACTGTGGACCCAATCTCGTGTCTCATCTCATCTGGAAAATGTGCCTCATCCCACCACCTCTAAAAAACAAAAAATACTGCATTAAACTATACTAAAAATATATTATGCATGTTATATGAAACAAGATATTATACATAATCTAGGCACAGTAACACATTTTGAAGTGCAATATGTTGCTGAAGTAAATATAGATGATAAACAATAAAATTTAAATTAATTTATTGCAATGACACAAAAACCCAATAGCAGATTTCTACCATTAAAGGGACAGTCCGTAATTTTGGACATAGGACCTCATTTCCTAGTGAGCCAGAGTGCTGGAGACGTGTGGAGACACTTTTTAAAATATTCCATGTAGTCCTTGTATTTGCAGAGGCTGCTGGTGCTAGGCTAGTGCATGTCAATGGCCATAGATATCCTGCCACAAAAAACTGTTTTACCCAATCCACAAAACACCCGAAGTAAATCTGTTATTACGCCAGACTGTCGATGTAAATGTCTGCGTTGACAGAATAATGTTTGAAATAAAACTAACCTTGCATCACATGAATCGTCGCATCTTGAGGGACTATTTTCTCAGCAGCAGCAGAATTTTACTTTGCTGGTAAGATAGGTGCTAGGTGATATCAGTCCATCGCTGCCAAGCTTTTATCAGCAAGTACAACTCACGGCTGCTGCTCGGACATAAATCCATCCTTCAAATGCAAGGTTGGTTTTACTTCTGAAATTATTCTATCGACACAGACATTCACATCGACAGTCTGGCGTAATAATAGATTTGCTTTGAGTGTTTTGTGAAGTGGGTAAGACTGTTTTTAGTGGCAGGATAACTATGGCCATTGACATGCACTAGCCTAGCACAGGCAACGTCTGCAAATACAAGGACTGGATGGATTATTTTAAAAAGTGTCTCCACAAGTCTCCAACACTCACTAGGAAATGACGTCCTATGTCCGGACTGTCCTTTTAAAACTAAATGTTAAAAAAAAAATCACGAGCTGCAAAAAATAAATAGCAGAAATAAACACTTTAGTACAAAGAAAATGTACGCCGTAAATACTGACCCCAAATAAATATCGTTCAGCTTTCATATACTGACAATAAATCAATGTAGCAATTATCCTAACAGGGTAC